ACAAAGAATAAACAGAGAGACATCTGAATTAAATATCATACATCAAATGGGCCTAACAGACATCTACCAAATATTCCACTCAAGCACCAAAGAATATATGTTCTATTCAGTGCCCCATGGAACTTACTCCAAAATCAACAATATACTGGGGCACAAAACAAACCATGCACAAAGATACAAAAAGATTGAAATAATTCCATGCATTCTATCAGACCACAATGCAATAAAGCTTACAATCAACACCGGAAGAAGCCTTAATAACTACATGAACACATGGAGATTAAATAACACACTCCTGAATGATGAATGGGTCAAAGGACAAATTAAGAAAGAAATAAAAGTATTCCTGGAACTAAATGAAAAAGGCAATACAACACAACAAAAACCTCTGGGACACGCTGAAAACGGTCCTTAGAGGGGAGTTTATAGCTCTAAGTGGCTACATTAAAAAATCAGAACACAAATAAATGACTTAACATTGCAGCTCAAAACACTTAAAAAGCAACAACAAATGAAACCCAAACCCAGTAGACAAGAAGAAATAACAAAAATCAGAGCAGAAATTAATGAAATAGAAACAAAGAAAACAATACAAAGAATCAACAAATCCAAGAGCTGGTTCTTTGAAAAGATAAACAAGATTGACAGACTGCTAGCCCAGTTAACCTAAAGAAAGAAAGAACCTCCAAATCAAAATCACAGATGAAAGGGGAAACATCACAACAGACACCAAAAAGATCGAACATTATAAGGGAATACTTTAAAAACCTATACGCTACTAAATTTGAAAACCGAAAAGAAAACGACAGGTATCTAAAAGCATAGGAACCACCAAAACTAAACAAACATGAGATCAATGGCTTAAACAGACCCATAACACATAAGGAAATTGAAACGGTAATACAAAACCTCCCAACTAAAGAAGCCCAGGACCAGATGGATTTACAGCAGAATTCTATCAGACATTTAAAGAAAATCTGCATCCAATACTACTTAATTTATTCAAAAAAATAGAAATGGGGGGAAAACTTCCAAATTCCTTCTATGAAGCCAGCATCACTCTCATACCAAAGCCTGGTAAAGATACAACCAAAAAAGAAAACTATAGACCCA